ACAGAATATATTCTAAATAACTTTGATTTGAATAAACACATTGAATGTGAAGTTTGCACTAATTTATTACATACTTCAAAGTGGTCTCAAATATCACTTTTACGGTCACTCTCTCCACACTTATGCCTAAACAGACCAAAAGCACTGTCAGTATAAGACAGTGATTGCGCTGATGAAGGGTGGAGACAATTACTGCCCGAAACATTAATTGCAATTTTGTCCGCAAATAATATCGAAGACAATTATCGGTCAAATTGTGTCACAAATTGTAAGTTAAAAAGTAAATTTTATTGTTATTAATTTATAAGACCTAACATTCAGAACTAAAACAATTTAATTAAAATAGAAAAATGTTATTAAGAATGCAATTAATGTTTTAAAAAATTGGACACAAATGTATAGAAAAATGTGTTTTCATGTGATATAAGTCTATCTAATATTATCCGGAATTCACTTTTCCTCAGAATATTCCGATCGACAGACCATTCGCTGTATTCTCGCAGTACTTGTGAACAGTCGGGCCGTTGACTGAATGCTGGGGTCGAAGCCATTGACACTAGAATTCGCTTCAATTTAACTACCGGTGCGCTCAGTATGTCATCACTTTGTGAATAGGATTGCAAACTATTAAATATAGTGGGAGTTGTAAATATAATGAAATAATCACAAAAAGAATTATTCAATTTATACTCATTTAAGTCAATCAAAAATAAGTCGAAATCCAATACTTCTGAACCAATGATTGCCAGACAATAGACATCCGATTTGTGGTCATATTTATAGCCTTGAAGTACTTCGGGTGCCATATATCTCATGGTTCCGACCCCTGAGGTGTGCTTTTTGTATGTTTTATAATTAATGTCTTTGTCGTGATCTGTAGCCAAACCAAAGTCACATAACTTAATAAACCTGCCGTTCCGCCCGTTCCCGTCAATCAATATATTGTCGGGTTTAAGGTCTCTGTGAATGATCTGTGGATTTAATTCATGCAAATACTGAACACTTTCTAAGATCTGACGGAATATTTCACACGAAATGAAATACTCGACACAATTCATGGGATCTCCCGATAGTCTGTCAAATACTTTTGGTTTAATTTCGAGAATATTTTTTAGATTCTGTGAACAGAACTCCATTTGAATGTAGAGGTGTTTGCTTTCAAGCCATGACGTGATATATTGGACCATAAAATCTGGATTAAGTTTTCTTAAATTCTTCACTTCCATCAAAATTATTTTCATATATTCATCGCTAGATTCTGTAGTATATTATAATTATCATAAACTTTTAATGAAGATATTATAACAATTTTATATTTACTTTTAAATTCAATTCTTTTGACGGCATATATGTGTTCATCGAATCTATGCTTCACTTTAAACACAGTCCCGAAACCTCCCGATCCTATTGCCGACAACTCATCGAAAAGGTTTTGGTAATGATTTTCAAATGAATTGTTTCCCACTTTTGGTACTAAAATATAAACACAATTACATTATATTATTACATAATTTTCTGTATTATCAATAGTAAGGATTTAATGAATGGTGCGATCGATGATACATACCATCTTCGACCTCATCCAACACTTCAATCACGTCATCCACTTTTACTTTGAGTTCGCCTTCATTTTGTGAATCAAAATCATAGATCACTTTAACCTTTTTGTTCATTACATGTGATTTGGTTTCATCAGAATATTCTGTTGTCTCGATGTTTAATGTATTGTAACTTATGTTGCATTCATTGGCGTAATAATCAACAAAATTATTGTAATTATATTGTTTATATTGAAATGGCGAGATTATTTCATAAATTTGGTAATTAGCTTGTATTATAAATAGTCGATTAGCATAATACGAATGAAGCTCGGTAAATTGTTGGACATTTAAGTTCAACGAAATTTGCATCGGGGTACTTATTGTTTGATAGTTGTTCGTATAATCCAAAAATTGGCCGAAAATATATATTATATTATTATTCGATAGAAAACACGTAAACTTGTTGTACGGATTACCTGATATACTGATTGATTTGATATCAGTAAGATTTGGGATCAATCTAGGTAATAATGACTTGAATTCTGTAGTATGTCCCAATTCACCATAGTAATTGTCACCCCAACTGAATACCAAACCATCGACAGTAATGGCAAATGATTTGTTATCAAAAGCGAAAATAGTTTTGATTTTATAATTGTTTTGAAATTCCAACAATTCTGGTGTGATTGCTGAAAAAGGTGTGTATTTTCCAATTTGTCCAACCAAATTATCCCCCCACGCATACACCTGTCCATTGGTGGTGAGGGCCAGGGAGTGACGTCTACCACAAGAGAATTGTGTCATACCCTTGTAATACAATTCTGTTATGTTTTTATAATTTCCAAATTCTGTATTAAAAACCAATAATTTTTTCGTACGTCTACCCAATTGTCCGCAATTATTGTGACCCCCACTGAACACGTGATTCATACCATTGATAGCCAACACAAAGTCCAAGCCATTGATGAATCGTTGTATCCTTTGATTACATAATTGTGGTATAATTTGTGGTGTTTTCACTTCATTCTCGTGACCCAAACCCAAACAACCCCCTTGATTATGACCCATACAATAAACTGAGTCATTTTTTGTCACAAATATTATATTTTCTTTATTCAAGTGTTGAAAACTAGTGAAAACATGAAATAATTTAATTTCTTGTTTAATACTCGCATCAATCGTATCACAAATGCGAAACTTATTTAAAAGTTCACTCATATTGATCGGAATTAAAGACAAACACAATTTATTTAGTTATCGAAAAGTAAAACTATTTTATAATATATACTAGTATACAATTATTTGTTTGGCCCATTACATAATACTAATAACATAATTAAGACTCATTTAGATTGAAACGAATTGATATGACATTTAGAAATATCTCATATTTATTGTCGAGATAAACGCCTTATAATGTGTAATAAAGCTAAACATTTGAGAGTTTCGCTTAAAAAATTCAATGTTTTCCTACATTTACGCAGTGATAAGTGGGTTATCAAATCACTCTGTACTACATCCACCCCGACCCCCGCCTAGTGGTTTCCCATTTTCAACCCTCCCATTAAAAATGGATTAATTGTTAGCTATAAAATAATTAAACTTCAAAATAAAGTATAACCATGTGACCATTTATATTATGAACATTATGTAGATATTATTATACTTACAATAAGACTAAAATTTTTATATGATAGTGATATGAGAAGTTTTGTCATCGCAAATAATTTATTTGATAACTTATCACTAATACCGTAATGCAGTGCTAAAAGGTAAAACAAATAATATGTAGTTAACTGTAATTAAAACACAATAATTAAAGAATATATTGAACTTAATTTATAAAACCTAACATTCAAAACTAAAACAATTTAATTAAGAATGCAATTAAGGTTTTAAATAATTTAACACAAATTCATAGAAAAATGTTTTCATGTGATTTAAGTCTATCTAATATTATCCGGAATTCACTTTTCCTCAGAATATTCCGATCGACAGACCATTCGCTGTATTCTCGCAGTACTTGTGAACAGTCGGGCCGTTGACTGAACGCTGGGGTCGAAGCCATTGACACCAGAATTCGCTTCAATTTAACTACCGGTACGTTGAGTATGTCAACACTTTGTGAATAGGACTGCAAACTTTAAATATAGTGGGAGTTTTAAATATAATGAAATAATCACAAAAAGAATTATTCAATTTATACTCATTTAAGTCAATCAAAAATAAGTCGAAATCCAATACTTCTGAACCAATGATAGCGAGACAATAGACATCCGATTTGTGGTCATATTTATAACCCTGAAGTACTTCGGGTGCCATATATCTCATGGTTCCCACCCCTGAGGTGTGCTTTTTGTACGTTTTATAATCAATATTTTTGTCGTGATCTGTAGCCAAGCCAAAGTCACATAACTTAATAAATCTGCCGTTCCTTCCGTTCACGTCTATTAATATATTGTCGGGTTTGAGGTCTCTGTGAATGATCTGTGGATTCAATTCATGCAATANTATTAATATATTGTCGGGTTTGAGGTCTCTGTGAATGATCTGTGGATTCAATTCATGCAAATACTGAACACTTTCTAAGATCTGACGAAATATTTCACATGAAATGAAGTACTCATAAGAACCCATGGCTTTCCCAAAGTCTCTCTCAAATACTTTTGGTTTAATTTCGAGAATATTCCGCAAATTCTGTGAACAGAACTCCATCTGAATGTAAAGGAAGTTGGTTTCGGGCCATGAGTTGTAATACTGGACCACATATTCTGACCGAACTTTTCCTAAATTCTTCACTTCATTCAGAATTCTTTTAATATAATCCTCAGAAGAATCTAAAATTATTATAAAAATTTAAAACTTTGTCGAATAATTTTCATTAATATTTACCCTTCAATTGTACTCTTTTGACGGCATATATGTGTTCATCGAATCTATGCTTCACTTTAAATACAGTCCCAAAACCTCCCGACCCTATAACCGACAACTCCTCGAAAATGTTTTGGTAATGGCTTTCAAATGAATTGTTTCCCACTTTTGGTACTAAAATATAAACACAATTACATAATATTATTAGTAAACTATTTATTATTGTTTAATCTTTAGTACGACATAACAGTCGAAAGCGTGTGAAATGAGCCATAAATTGATATATAAGTCGATTTTTTGGTATTAACACAAAAAGTAATTTAATGATAATCTTATGTAATATGAGTTTAGATTTTTAAGCAATAATCTATAAAATAATGATTAAATAACTATACCTTCATTTGTATCAGAATTGGTGTTTAATGTATTGTAAGTTATTTGTCGTTCATTGGCGTAATAATCAACAAAATTCGTGTAATTATATCGTTTAACTTCATGCGGGGATATCATTTCATGAATATAATCGTCAGCTTTTAGTATTAATCGTATTGGATAATAATGTGAGTGATGTTCATTAAATTGTAGAACATTTAATTTCAATGAAATTTGAATCGGGGTACTTATTGTTTGCAACATTTTCATATCATGAACATATTGGCCACAAATATATATTATATTATTATTGGATAGAAAACACGTAAACGTATTGTTTCCATTATATGATGAACTGATTGATTTGATATCATTAAGATTTGGGATCAATTTGGGTGACAATGACCTGTTGTCATTTGATGTATACCCCTTTTCATCATACACATTCATACCCCAACTGAATACCAAACCCTCGACAGTAATGGCAAATGATTTATCACCAAAACAGAAATTTTTTTAAATTTTATAATTGTTCTCAAATTCAATCAATACTGGTGTCCATGCTGAAATATTTGTATTATTCCCAATTTGTCCATGGTGATTATCACCCCACGCATACACCTGTCCATTGGTGGTGAGGGCCAGGGAGTGTTGATAACCACAACATATTTGTGTCATATTCTTGTCATTCAATTCCGATATGTTTTCATAATTTCCATAATCTGTGTCGAAAAATAGTAATTTTTTCGTACGTCTACCCAACTGTCCCTTACAATTGTGGCCCCCACTGAACACGTGATTCATGTCATTGATAGCCAACACAAAGTCCGATCCATTCATAAACTGTTGTATCCTTTTGTTACATAATTGTGGTATAATTTGTGGTGTTTTCACTTTATTTGTGTGACCCAAACCCAGATTACCCACAAAATTACGAGATCCCATACAATAAACTGAGTCATTGTTTGTCACAAATATTATATTTTCAAAGAAAACATGAAATAATTTAATTTCGTGTTTAATATTCGCGTCAATCGTATCACAAATGCGAAACTTATTTAAAAGTTCGCACATTTTGAACACAATTATAAAATACAATATTTATTAAATTAACAAAAAATAAAATTAAAAAAACAAAAAACAGTTAATTATTTTCAACAAAACCTAAAATGAAGTCCAAATGAATAGTGATATGAAAGGGTGTTGTCATTGAAAATATGTGATAACTATAACATTTTATGTCTGAATGTATAGTGAATTACAATAGCTTTTGATAACAATAATTATCACAAACTTTGTTAATTGAAATGTTGCTAAGAATTTCTACTCAAACGCAAAATGAAGTCAATTTTATTTTATTGCCATCGAAATATGAGATAGTAACTTTTTCATTACATCACTGTTATATTTGTATTAATCCAGTCATATCAATAAGTTTGTTAAATATTTGCAATAATTTTTTAAATAGAAAAAAATTGATTAAATTTTATTAAAAGTTTAAATGTCTATTTATTGATAATAAAAGTTATACGAGTTTTTCAAGTTATGAGAAATGAAACAAATAATAATAAATAATTTGTTTTAATCATGTTTTAAATGACTTAAATGTGTGAACACCGGATCAATTCAGGTCTAGCCCTGAGGTTAACTGGATTATTCACATCCATTTTCCGGACAACTAGTATATCCATCACCGCATTGGTTGTGTTGCTGTCCAATACCCGTCTCAGGTCTGCCACTGTAGCGATCGGAAGGCTGTCCACTGCTATGATTAAGTCATATAATTGCAATTCATTTCTATAAATGCAATACATTTTGTGAAACAATTAGTAATTGAATAATAAATTAGAGTTAAAGTGAGAGTTAAAGACAAATATAAAAGTTTTAAAAATATTAGGAACAGGTTATGAATAAAGTGTGGAAACTAAGACAGGTTTGTATGAAAACAATTGCATTACAGCTGTTGCGGGGAATTGGATCTGATTTTACTGAAGATCAGGAGTCCTCTCAAGGCATCGATTTCTGGGGGTATTGGCGCCGGAATTCGTCCCCTTTTGAAGGAGTCATCAAACTGTCGGACAGACAGCTATTCCCAGACTTTTGGCGCCAATAAATGTATGCCTTTTAGCGCTATCTCTGTCTCTTCGCTCTTCGTATTGCAGACCTCTTGCGATGAAATCTGGGAATCAATTTGAAAATGTGTTAAATTGTACTTAAAATCAACGATAATATGATATGCGATACCATTGAACAAATCAGATCCCGTACTGAGAGTATTGCGAATATAGGGAATTCCGCTCCAATTAATGCCAATCACATCATCACATCGCCCCTCCTGTTAAGCAACGGACCGCCGGAAAAGCCGACACCAATGGGACAGTCGCTCTGTACGTAGTGTCCCCTCTGGTCGTTAAAGCTCTGTTCGCCGGGAATGGCAGTCATGGGTCTGCGGGCGCAGCCGAGCACACCGTCGCTGATGGAGTAGTCGTTATCGTCGGGCACTCCGATGACCAACACCTCTTCGCCGGGAACTACCGGTGCCCTCAAGGAAGCCGTCAACAGGTTGCCGCCGTCGACGATGCGGATGAGGGCGCAGTCGATTTGGGGCTCGACGTAC